GAGGGGCGGGGCGGGGGGGGGGCGGGGGGGCTCCGGCTCGCGGCCCGGAAGCGCGCGCAACGCGTTCCTGGAGACGGGTGCACGGATGGGCCGGCGGACACGGGGGGGGCCAACTTAAGGGGGAGGTGACCCTTGTGCACGAGCGGGGCCCCAGCCAGTTTCCCGAACCAGAACGGACAGGGGCGCGCCAAAGTGTGTGAAAGGGCGGCAGACCACGGGGGGCGGCTGCGACCCATGCACAGGGCGTTCGCCGGTATCTCGCGTGTCCTCCCCGCTGAGATACCCGACGCGGGCCGCACGCGCCATATGTATATCTCTAGTACACACAGCCTTCGCACACACCCTGATCATGTCTGTGTGCTGGGGGCTGGCGGGTGTACCTCGAACCCGGAACCTGAACCGCACCGCCTAGACTGGGTGACTACCACCAGGATAAGTCAAACTCCGTGCCGACTTCACGCCAGCTAGAAGTAGATATTATTGCGGTGTGTGGAATCTGCATGTGCTGTATATGAGTGGGGTTTTCTACTTAGTGTGTAATCTCGGGGCGGCGCAGTAACAATATCAGCGACCTCGAGCCTCCGTATGTATATTCCTCCGGAACAATGTCGATGGGTAATATCTGATTTGTGGAAAGGTGTGTTAACAGAGACGTTTTCGACAATACATGCTGTCATGTTAATAAAGAGCTGTGTGCGCAAAGAAAGGAGAACATATTTCCGACATAAATATTTTAAGATTACTTAATTTTTAAGGAGTTTTGCTCTGGTTGATTGACAAGAAGCTCTTCTCAGAGGTAGGTTATAGAGAGTTGATGTGAGTTCAGACGAAAGGGGTGTTTTCCGCGGCTTTTGAAGGCGGCCGTGAGGTCTAATTATTCTTGTGTTCAGTGGCTGTTGGCGTGCAGGCTTTGCCCGGGCAGGGGACAGGTCAGTGGTCAACGTGGTGTTTCGGGCGCAAGAGGAAAGAAAAGAAAAAAAAAAAAGAGGAAAGAGTATGTTTCCCCTCCTCCTTGTCCCCTTTTTTTTTTGTGTTTTTTCCTTTTTTTTCTTTGGCGGGGGCGGCGGCGGCGCCAGGGCGGCGCGTGAGCTCCGGCCTCCCCGAATCCCCGCGGCCGCGCGGCGCCACCGCAGATGAGACCGCAAGCCGAGCGCCCCCGGACCTGGGCGGGGCTGGGCCTACCGCACCCCGAGCGGTACTACCAACCTGTGTCAACATTCACCACTAAATAGAAGGGTTTAGGGTGTGTAAATCTGTCAAAATATTTTCTCTTAGTTGTAAGATGGGCTTGGGGCAGTAACAATATCAGCACTCAGCCTCAGCAATCCTCCAACAATTCATGTTAATATCTTTATTTTGGTGAAAGTGTAACAAACTTGTCACAATACATCTTCATGTTAATAAAGAGCTTGTGGCAAGGAAAGGAGACATATTTCGACGAAATTTTAGATACTAATTTTTAAGAGTTTTGCTCTGGCTTATTGACAGAAGCTCTTCTCAGTAGGTTATAAGAGTTGATGTGGATTCAACGAAAGGGTTGTTTTCCGGGCTGAAGGGCCGTAGTCTAATTATTCTTTTTCAGGCTGTTGGCTGCAGCTGCGGCAGACATCAGTGGTCACGTGGTCGCAAGAAAAAATGTCAGTCACCCGATATCTGCCAAGAGCTATCTTCAACCGTGACCTCAGATCCACTGTAACTGTCTGCCGCACTTGTGGGCGAAAGTCTGACCAAACATTTTCCATTGGACAGCGGCCTAGTATCATCGAAAGCACTAAACGTATCTTATTTATTCATTTATTTTACCTCAAAAATAGTTTGCAGAACTGCGATCATTTATTCCGGAGTGGAATATGGAATTTCATGTAGAGAAGTAATGCAAGAATTCTGCAACCCCTCTGTGCTTGGTGAACTGCATTAGAAGCAGTATATTACTCTGGTAGCTCCGTAATTCCTGGAAGAGAAGGTGAGATTATCAAAATAATGACCTCGACTTGAGACTAACAACTCTATCTGACAACCAGAAAAGTAACAACGTGTAATGAAGAAGATTAGTAATCTGATCTAGAAATATATATTTTCCATGCGCACTGAGCAAGCATAACTTGCTTTGATTGATTTCGCTACATTTTAAAGTACCAAAAGCAACATCATGAAAGTTAGTAATATATTCTAAGAACCATTGATAACATATAAATTATATTCATAAACAAAAAAGTTAGAAACGATTTCGCTTATTCATGATCATCGATAAGCGAATGCTTTGACATTCTTCCAAAACCAAGTTATTTGAGACTTCGGTTTGGATCAAATGGAAAAATTCAAACACTCAACATAAAACTCAGGAATACGAACCACTCAATTTCAGAAGATCAACATAAACACTCCTACTTGATGAGTGATGTTTTTCAAGGATAACTCGAACTGAGTTTCGTGAAAGTTGGAATGTATTTAGAAAAATTAAATAATTACAATGAGTAAAGAATTGTTCATAAAATATATTGTTTATCTTATTAAAATTCGATCACATTTTGCATTAATGTTTTGAACATACAGCTCTGCCTCAAAATGCACACTCGTGGTGGGGAGAATGGTTAGAGGAAAGAAACTCGACCTCGAAGGCTAATGAGCAACCATGCAGAGAGCTTCTTCGAAACGGTAGGAACACGATCAGATCCAAGTACCCAGCTCTGCATCAAAAACTCCTTCAAATATGAACGACTTAATTTTGCTAGGTACAAAACAAACACTCGCCCTCCATGATTGATGCTCCTCGACAGCCAATTTAGGGTCTTTTACCAGCGGATATTGGCAACGCTCTCGGGAGGTCCATGCGGATTAAACGGTGGGGAAGCGCCGCCGTTTGATCTGCCATCATTCTCGGGAACCGCAAACACGCGGGGGCCGGCTCCGATCTTTGGATGAGATGCGCGGGGTAAGGCATCTGGAATTTGGCGGTGGTCGGACGTTTCCTCGAGGCCTGTACGCACGCTCCTGGCGGGGAGAGGAGGAAAGTGAACGTGATTGACGTCTCCTTGGGCGATTGATTACATTCGATTTCTCTATGGCTGTGAGCAAATTTGACAGGTTGATTTGAGCCATTGAGGTTATTGTATTCGTACTGTCAGCATTCAAATTTTTAGCTGTCAGCATTTAAATCTTCTAACATTAAGCATTTCTTGTTTCTAGACAGTGGGGGGCAACAAGCAAGCGGCGCAGAAACATATTATCGAACCGTTAAACAAGAAAAAACAAAAAAAAGACAGAATAGCGCGCTCTAAGGACAGGACGAGACGAAGTAGCGAGGGTACGAATTACATCATTTGTTTTTAGGGCATTCTTCAAAATCTCAGGTATTGTTAGAATTAATGAAAATAATCACATCGTCAAGTAGATGGTTTTGCCTACTTCAATAAGGTATATTAAAACATTTATCAACAGAAGCAAGTGTACACAAAACAAGCAAGTCACAACATAAACAAATCAAATAATATATTTTACATTTTTCTTAGGTTTGATGACTTATTTAATATTCCTTACCGTACTTCAGTATGCATAATAAATATTATAAACTTGTCTGTGCATATTTGACCAACATTGTTGCAATAATTTGAAAATATTTGGGATATATCCAGTCACTTGATCTCTCTGCTTATCGGAAAATTGAAATGTGGTCAAAATGATCGTCTTGCTAGGGATATGAGCCTCCGTTCTCCTGTTCCGTTTTCGTCGCAATTTCAGATAAATCTCAGTCCAAGCGGTAATTTAAATAACTTATATATTAGTTTTGCACTTAATTTTTAAAAGGTTCCAAAAAACTCGGTAAACAATTCCAGAAAGCTGAAAGAAAACTTAGGTTCCTTTTAACAACCATGTGTCCTTTCATAAAGTACACTTGACATACATGGGCCGTTCCAAATTCCTTTAAGATTCCTCAATAAAGTAAATCAATAACTATAGTTCACATTGTTAATAATAACTACGTCTTTTTTAGCAAAATAGAATATATCTTTGGTGAATGAACAACGATTCGTTCTGTTGACCACGAATCAGTTGCACCGTTTACGTGTGTTCTACGGCCACCTTCATCGATCAGCTTCCCAAATGAACCTCCTCGCAAACAGTCTCTCTCAGCGCAATGCTTTCTTGCTCAAATCGGACTGGTTTCCTACCTTTGGTGTTGCCGAAGTGCGACATTTTGATTCTCCTCCTGAGTTGTCGGGTCATCTGAAGGAGCAAAGTTAATTTTACAGATCAGGGGAGATGGTACAGGGCGTCATCTGATGTCACTGCTCACTGCGGTGCCTTTGACTGGGAGGTCCTAGGTTCGCGTTTCGACGGTAGCAAGATTTCCCACACTAGGTAGATACATAGGACAGATCCAATCGCTGTCTGGGAAAGATTTTTGTAGCGGCCGGGTGCTCTAATCAGTAGTTTTCGGTGGTTTCTTAGATCAACAAAAAAAAAAAAAACGAATGCCGGAGCATTTTCCTAACAAAGGGCCATGGACCTCGCGCCACCTTTCCTTCCTCTTCATTGTCCTATCCTCACCCCTTACACTTACATCCACACTACCGCACATGTCGGGAGACCAATCGGGAGTTTACAGCTTGTTCCGGTTGGGGCGGTGTCCCACTGGGGAGAAATATCTGGTTGAAGAAAACTTCTCTAGACGACGAAAGGTCGGCATCAGATCTCACCATCCAGCGGGGGATGATAACTGCCAGAAACACAAAAAAACACGTACTACACTTACGGGACTAATGACTATCAGTTTACGCGCCCAAAATAATCAGTAAATTCAGTCATGTAGGTTAATGGTGCATTTTAAACACAATATTGGATAAAAGGAAAGTGGGTGAAAAATATAGAGAGAGGAATAAATGTATTACGGGTATATTACATCAATGATGATTGTTTGCAGAACATTCTCTTCGAATCATGTTACTTTTCCTCTCCGACACTACTATTTCTTTCCAACAGACAGTCGCGAACAGTAACAGACTTTAGAAACAACTACAGACTTCCAGTCCAGTGCACATGTATTCTTTCTTTGGCTCAGTCACGGTCTCAAAGTGACATTTAGGCCCGCGGTTGGACACATACCTCTATATATCTGCTTCACAACCGACGTAAGTTCTTATCATTCTCAACGCATACAAATAGATACTTAACATTCCACTTTCTTCATTCTTTCCATTTGGAGGAGAATAGCTCTTTCAGAAGTGGAATTCGGCTGGAATACAGATTGCTCACAAACTTACTCCTCTCGTAAATTCGAGTGCAATTTATTGCCTCTTAGTTGGATAATCTAAAACCATTACGCTCTAAGGAAATTTAAACAGAAAAGAGATTGAATTGAAGTCATGTATTGAATATATAGAGCTGGAAATTGTCGACAAAAATGTTACATACAATACTCCTCGCAGTAAACATTGATTTTCGAATATTTTAAAAAATATTTATCGTTGAATATGTGTCCGTAACATACGCATATCGATACATGGAATGTGTTGTCCTTACTATGAATGTGAATATTGGCACACAGAATAATCAATAAGACTACTGTACTCGGTTAATGTCATTGGCACACCTACAGAAATTATTTCTTCTTAAATGAGAATGTGACAGATATTTACATCCCGCCATGCACCCGGCGTCACGGCTCGGAGCACGAGCGGGAGGGGCAAGGGCGCCGGGGCACAAGAGCCGCTTTGAGCCGCGCCGCGCAAGCGCTCTGCGCCGACGGGGGCGCATCGCGAGGAGGCTCCGTGGAAGTGAGGCACAGGGCAAGGCGCGAGGTGCGGGGCGCGAGGTGCGGGGCGCGAGGTGCGGGGCGCGAGGTGCGGGGC